TATAAATCCGAAAAAAAACATACACTACTCTCAATCTCACCCATAGATATGAACAAACTCGAATAAATATTTCTTCATATGATGATTTGTAATTTCCCAGACAAAATGAATTCATACAAACATTTGTCATTTCTCCGACCACAACCCATGGTCGGCAGAAGCGTGCATATGATCAAACAAATACACAGACACCAGCATATATGACAGCCCAAAAGAATGTAGCGAACCGAAGAGCTCGGGCAGCTGATCTGATTTCTCTTCCTGTGGTTGGGGCCGGTCCAAGTGCTGCTGCTTCCACTAATTCGATCATCCAAAATGCTACTTTTTACAATAATCCAAGCGGTGTTTTGAATTATCTAAATTGGACACAACATGGACTTGTAACTCCGGTCAGGTATCAAGGGCAATGCGGTACATGCTGGGCTTTTGCCAGTGCAGCTGCTATTGAATCTCAATACGTATTAAAAACTGGCGTATTGGTATCACTTTCTCCACAAAATCTTGTTGACTGTGCCCCATATTTAACTGCAAGTCAAAATAATAAATGTATTGGGAACACCTGCGAATATGGTTATGAATATGTTTATGCAAATGGTATTCAAACCGAGCAATCGTATCCATACACATCTGGTAATGGAAATGTTGGCTCGTGTTACTATGATCCCTCAAAATCGGTTACAAATGTCAACTACTACGCATACCTTCCTGAAAATGATGAAATGGCCATGGTGAAAGCGATTTTCAATATTGGCCCAATCACAGCTGCTTTGTATGCTGGAAATTCGGGATTTCAATTTTATCAATCTGGTATATACCATGAGCCTGAATGCTCGGAACAAGGTAAATTGTAAATAACAATTTTTTCCCTCACAACTTTTAGAAAAAAAATCTATTTTTCTTCAGTCAATCATGCTGTACTTATTGTCGGCTATGGCACAGATCAAACTGCAGGCGACTACTATATAGTGAAAAATAGTTATGGATTAAATTGGGGAGAATCAGGATTTTTCAGAATTTCACGCAATCTAAATATGTGTGGTTGCGGATCATCGGCCATGTATACAACTATTGCACACTAATACAATCCAACTAATACAATTTGGGTATTTGTATTTCCACACTTGAACATATTATCTTTTCGAAAATAAAAAAAAATGTCTCATTTTTCCAATAATTTGGATCGTTGGGTGTTCACTCTTCATTGATCAAATAAAAATCATTTACGAAACTATTATCTCTTTTCATTCATGCGAAAAGGCAAAAAGCCCTTTCGAAAATGAACATATTCTCCTCTTTCATAACAAAGTCAGTGAAACGAATGCCCGTTTAGTTTTAAATCCGACTCTAATTTTTGAAACTAGGCTTAGAAAAAATCAGAGGTTCCAATCTACTCTAAATCTCATCCATAGATATAAAACCAATATAAATATGGTATTCGCGTAGCATTCCCATTTTACAGCTAAAATACCATCGCAAATTGATAAATTGAATTTTCAAGCATTGTGTAATGCCTTCATCACGGTACAGAAAAGTTGATTTTAAACTTGATTCCCGCTTATTTTTTTGGTGCGCAGAAAATTCAAATGATTTCGATTTCATTGAATATAATTGACGTGTAGGACATGTGTCGAGCCGAAATTTTGTTTTTTGAGTCTTATAAAATTGGTTCATTCCACCTGCGTCATTTTATACGAAATTACAAGTTCAAGGTGAAAACTACAGCAATTCTTTTCATATTTTCTCATCAATCTAAATATTTATTTTGTTATTAACAGAGCGTGTTACTAAGAGAATGTTGATTTTTCTGCGTAAATTTGGATGATGTCTCGTTAAGAGCTTACCAAGAGAAATGGCCATAAAATCTATGGGTGAGATTGAGAGTAGTGTATGTTTCATTGACTTTGTTACGAAAGAGAAGAGTAAGTTTCTTTCGACTTAAAAATAGTTAAAGTAGAGTATGTATTTTGACTGTTTGTGGCTATGATAAAGGCGAGTATGTTTCATAAACCTTAATTTGCGTTAAACAAGAGCATGTATTTTGTTAGTTTGGAATACCAATAAACAGGAGTATGTTCTTCTGACTTTGGTTGTTAGAAAAGGCGAGTATAGAACTAATCATTTGTACATCTGGCGGCTCCCAATACTTCAATTTAACACATTGGTTTTCGAAAAAGTAGAGTATGTTTGCATGAATGGTTAAAAATATTAAGTTCTTTCGACGAAGAATATCAGGAGTTCATAATTGTTAGCATTAAAGAGAGAACGTAATCGAGCTCTGCTTTTTATACGGCATTAGCATAAACGAACAACATACGAATCAATGTATAAGAGTGAAATGAGATTATCACCGAAACGATAACGCATGGAAAATAACACAGAAGAAATGTGACAACAAACAAACATCAACGAAATTGCAACGCATCAGAGAGTTTGCATGCAAACATACTCTACTTTTTCGAAAACCAAAGTCAGAAAAACATACTCCTGTTTATTGGTATTCCAAACTAACAAAATACAAACTCTTGTTAAACGCAAATTAAGGTTTATGAAACATACTCGCCTTTATCATAGCCACAAACAGTCAAAATACATACTCTACTTTATTTTTTTTTAAGTCGAAAGAAACTTGCTCTTTTTTTCTTAAAACAAAATCACGAAAAACTACTCGACTTTTTTAAAATATAAATCCGAAAAAAAACGTACACTACTCTCAATCTCACCCATAGAAATAGAAGTCATTGTAAGAAATAGAAGGAATCGTAGATTATTACAGAATTGCATCGACCAAGTATTCCAAGTTATACAAGTATTTCCAAGGCAAAATAAAATTTTCGTTTGAATATGAAGCGATTTTTACTTTGAGATTTTATCAATAACACATCTTTCCCTTCTGCACAAGGGAACACATGTTTTCATCTTCTTTGCTTGTATTTTTATAAGTAAGCATTGTTCAGATCCTTTAACTTCTTTTGTAGTGCTTGTTTTTTCTGTTCAGTTGTTTTATTTACTTCAGTAATTCTTTTTTCAGCTGATCTTTGTATTCCTTTAACAGTTCTATCCCTTGTTCTTTCTAGGTTATCAATTTTTGTTGAAATTTTCTCTATTTTCTGCGCTGGCGTCCGTCCGATTCCAATTTTTTGCAGGAAACTCATCTGGTTTTCGTCTCTAGTTGGACTGACATTGATGAACTGGTGAAATGAAAGGAAAAAGATATAAGTGAATTGGATTTTTTTTTCAGCATCTTCGAAAAAATGTTGTTGAAAGTGTATTTACCTGAACGACCAACACCAATGCAAAAAGTGCCAAGAATAAAAGTTTCATCTTTTCCAGTTGAAATGCTTGTTTACACCACTCGAACGTAAATGCTGAACTGTACGGTTCCTTCTGGATTCGACGGTATTTATAGGGAAATTTGTCCACGTATTTGGCATCATACACTCTGTAAAATTGTGTAGGTGTAAGTGTCTTGAGCAAAAAACAGTTGTCGTTGCCTGAAAAAACATGCAATTTGAATATTCAAGCAGGGCAGTTTCTTCGAAATTCTCAATTTAATATATATTCAAATGAATTGAAATAGTTTTGTGATCGTAAAAAGTCATATTTCAGTTTGTCATCGAAGAAGAATAAAATGTACCGATCGACAGACAAACTTAAAACTTGAAACTATTGCAATCGTATTTCAACGCATTAATGGATTATACTCGCAATCAACATTATTATCGCAACATTGACCGTTACCAAAATGGTCGAAATCCTGAGTAAAAGAACGTTTTACCAGAATGTTGATTGGATTAGAGAAAAATTCCAAACTCTGCCTGAATAAAAATCCAATTTACCTTATGTTTTAATTGATTTTGTCCATCGCATTGAGCTTGACTTGATCACTTTTAACATCTCTTGTCGAACTCGTATTTTACACAATTTCGGGATCGAACTACGATCACCGTCAGCATTTTCCAATCTAACTACATCTGCTGAGCGTGGGATAATATTTAAAAATCCGAAAAATCAATTCGAACAAAAAGCCAATTGCATTCATATTTAAGTGAAGAAAAATGTTTCTGACGCATCGTGGCATCACGATTTTTGGGGATCGTACATTTCATCGAGATCATTCAACATTTTATCTCAAAAACAATGTTTGGACCGTATTCCCATTTAAAAGCATTTCACATTTCAACGTTGTGAACATTTTGTTGCTTTTTTTGGGATCGTATCCATCATTTTAAGAATCAGCTTTTGGAATCGTGATATAACTCATTTGTGAAAGAAATTTAACTTGGTATTGGTATTCAAATTCAAATGATTTTGAACCAAATTTGCAATTTCGCGTGGAAAACTGGTCCATATTGAAATTAAACGTTGAGTGATGTTTATTCGATGTGGATATTTGAATTAGATTTTTTTCATCTTCGCGGTATGCACAAAACACATTCCGCTTCAAAGTCGTTCCAAAGTTAAAAAACAACCACAGATGGATCGTCGTTTTCATATGGAAAATATGAATATGAATGATTAAACAACATGACGTATACTTTTGCGTTACATGCCTAAATGAATTGTATTGCGCAATTTGAAACTGGATTGTTTGATAGTTCCTTGTTCTAATTGCACAAAAATTTATCGCACACATTTTTTCATGAAAATGTTTCTAGAACAATTGACGTCAATTGGTGGAATCGTGCATAACTTTTCGTTTCACATTAAATGGATCGCATCGAAAATACCAGATTGGGTGCCTGAAACTCCAAGCAAACTAAATCCACCAAATAATTTTGGCATATCTGTTTTATTTAAACCGGCTTTATTTTCCGAGAAAGCAAGAATAAGTAGTGTCTTGAAATTTGATGGTTGAATCTCGTCCCGAATGAACTTTGTTCCCGTTTTTTCTTTCATTGCAGTAAAACATAGGTATTTCAACACAAAACAATCTCAAGAGTGCAATAAAAAATAAAAAAATATCGAAAACGATAAACCATATCTCTTTTTATTTTTCGTAGACTCCAAATTCCCTCATTGTCAAAAATAGAAGTCTGTCGGACGCATTCAGTCTATATTTCTGCTAGTAAGAGGAGTTTTCGAGCAAAATTTTGCTTTTAATGCAGTCGGAAATGTGCCTGAAACTCTATTTGGCACGAGAAATATAGACTGGGTACTTGTACCAGTCAGATGAATGTACATTGCTCGGATACAAAGCAAACTTTGCTCGATATTCGCTTGAATCAACTTCAAATGAAAGTCATGAAAAGTTGACAGGAGTAGAAATTTCCATCAAAGGTACACAAGTGAACACCGTTAGACCGAGTTGAAGTGTACACAATCATCGAAAATTAATAGTTCAACCCAAAGACTGACGAAAATTAGCAACACAATCATTTGTAACGTGTCGAATATATTCCGAGAATTTATGGGCCATTTTAGTGAAAGCCTCGAAAATAGAAATGAAAAGCATTTTGATTCAAATTACACTATTCCGTTAGAATAATATCTGGGAATGGGGAATTTTGTTTCCATGAAGTGTAGAAATAAAAATGAAAAATATTCTTGGACTTCTGTTCAATGAAGTTGCTTATTTTTAATACCGATTTGCGTTCTACATTTTAATAAAACAAATGCATGAAAAAATGTCTGAAAAGCATTTCAATACTATTAATATAGAGAGCTGAACACATCACGAAACAAATCACTTGCATCATCCCTACAATAATTGAACAAGATTTTAATCTGAGCTTGGATCGGGTGGATTTTTGCTATTGTGTCACATTAATTGCAAAAGCTTTTTCATTTTATGGCGCAATTTACATTTTTCACTTCAAATAATAATAAACGAAATGGAACTGCACACAAGAACAAATGAAATGTGTTTTGATTGAAACTATTCCTTGGGTTCCATCGAGAAAAATATTTCAAATCCAAAATACAGAGGTAAAGCCAAGTCAGATTTAGGAACCGCGCCGATAAATCGAAGGTATATGACGAAATAAACGAATCCATGAACGAAAAAACTGCCTAGGGTGAGGATTCCTAAGTTTCCTATCGACATAACCATATGGTAAAGCTGCTGTTTGGTTTTCCAAAAAAAGACAAGCGGCTTCACTCAATTAATTTGGAAACTTTAATTTACCAAAAAGTTGAATAATGAATGACAAAAAATTAATCTTATGTTTCCTTAAATCTATTGAATAATTTCAAATACTGAATGTGAAAAAATGAACCGTATGAAAAAAAACTAAAGTCAAGTTTTTTTTCTCTATGTGTTACGATGTGCGCGGAGGCAAGAGATGTTGCTGTTTCTCGGTTCGTGAATGTGAATCAATTGATTGCGCGTTTGACTGCTCTGACTGTGTTACACCGACAAACGACTCACTCGTACACACGCACACTAGAATTTGTATTCAAATTCAAGTGTGAGGTCGGTGACGTTTCTCAATGTCGCTCAGCCTTACAATTTTGCAGCAAAATGTTTTTTTTTTATTTGGTGCGCTACAGGGCTCCCCCTCTAAAGGCGGAGTCGTTTCGGAAAATGCACCTTCCGACTAGATCTTGTGACTGTATGTGGCTTATTGCTTTGATTCTCCGGTGTGGTTTTTCGTTTTATGTGGGTTTCGACCTCGTTTTCCTCGTCTTGTTTGAGTATGAAAGCTGGCTTTAATCGATCGATGCTCACCGTGTCTGGTTTTCCGTCGATATTTACTTTGAAAACCTTCGTGCCACTTTTGATCACCTCATATGGCCCCTTGTACGGTGCTTGTAATGGTGTTTTGTGTGCGTCGATTCGAATGGAAACATGTGTGGCGTTTTTCAACTCGGGATGCACGAAAAATTTTGGCTGGCCATGATACTCTGGAGCAGACGGTTTGAATTTGCGCATGGTTTGTTTGAATTTCTTGACAAATTCTGAATCGATCGGGTTTTCACTCGGGCCATCGAAAAATTGGCCCGGCATTGTGAGTGATTTTCCATAAATCATCTCGGCGGGCGATGCGTTGATGTCTTCTTTGACCACGATGCGCAAACCAAGCAACACTAATGGCAATTCATCGATCCAGTTGTTTGTGAATTTCGCTTTGAGTGCTGCCTTGAGCGAACGATGCCACCTTTCAATCATCCCATTTGCTTGTGCGTGGAATGATGTAGTTCGTAAATGGTGGATGCCCAGCATTTGGTTCAACTGATTGAATAACTGGCAATCGAATTGTCTTCCTCGGTCAGTTGTGATACGTTGGGGAATTCCAAATCGTGCGATCCATCCACTGACAAGCGCCTTTGCAATGGTTTCAGCGGTGATGTTTGATATCGGAATGGCTTCGATCCATCGTGTTGCTCGATCGATTGCTGTCAGTAGATATGAGTAGCCGTGAGATTCTGGCAACGGTCCAACAATGTCGATATTAATGTGCTCGAATCGGTCGCACTTCGTTCCGTATGGTGTCACCGGTGCTTTCGAATGCATATGAATTTTGCATTTCTGACACGCGATGCAATGCTTGACGAATTCCTTGCATGACCATTGCATGTGTGGCCATACAAAACGCTCTTGCATCAATTTTGTCGTTGCGCGCACACCGGGGTGACTCAAACCATGTATTTGTTCTAAAACGAGGGAACGAAATTTGTTAGGTCGGACATTTTTACCTGATGTATCACAAATCAATGTTATGTCGGTATCGGGAAGTTTTACTGATTTCAATTGTAACGATGTCTTGTCAGACGCTAAAAAATCCTTCAATTCATCGTCGATCTTCTGAGCTTCAGCGATTCTGTGGTAGTCGATTGACTTATTGTCGACTTGTTCGATTCTTGACAACAAATCGGCGACGATGTTTTCTTTCCCGGGCAAATACACTATTTCCGTCGTGAATTCGCTGATATACTGTAGTTGCTCGATTCGTCGGGATAATTCTTTGCCTGGCTTTTTGGTGAACGCGTGTGACAATGGTTCGTGATCACAATACACCTTAAATTCTCTTCCTTCCAGCGTGTGTTCGAAATGTTTAATCGTTCGGTATATTGCAAGTAATTCACGGTCGTAAGTTGGGTATCTCTTCTCGGTGTCGTTCAATTTTTGCGAAAAAAATCCCAACGGTTGCAATTTCCTATCGACAATTTGGCGTATTTCGCCTCCAATCGCATAACCACATGCGTCCGTTGCGACGACGAGTTTCGGGTTACTCACCGGATGCACCAACATTGTAGCATTTGCCAACATTTGTTTGAACTCTTCGAATGCTGACTCGGCGTCGCTTGTCCAAACGAGTTTTGTTTTGTCGTTTTTCTTGTTGCCAACAATGAGTGATTGTAGTCGTGCCCTTACGTGAGCGGCTTTTGGTAGGAATTCGTTGTAAATTTTGATCATCATGATGAACGTACGCAATTCACATGCCATCTTTGGTTTTGGGAACTGTTTCACCGCCTCAACTTTTTCAGGTAGTGGTTGGATTCCTTCAGACGTCACCAAATGGCCCAAAAATGTGATCTCGCTTTGAGCAAATATGCATTTGTCGGGATTAATTCGTAATCCGTATTCTCGTAACCTTTGCAGTACTGTGCGTATGTGCTCAATGTGTTCGTCCAACGTGGTGGACGCGATGAAAATGTCGTCGATGTAAACAAATGCGAAATCCAACCCACGAAGTACCTCGTCCATCAATCGTTGGAAAGTTTTTGACGCGTTGCGTAGACCAAATGTCATGAACATGAACTCGAATAATCCGAACGGTGTGATTATCGCTGTCTTTGGAATGTCGTCTTCATGCATTGGTATTTGATGATAGGCTTTCCTTAAATCTATTCGTGAAAAAAATTTCTTTTTGTGTAAATTGTTTTGGAAATCTCTCAAAAACGGTGTTGGATACTGGTCAGGAATTGTTTTAGCGTTTAATCGTCGATAATCCCCACATGGACGCCATTCGCCGTTTCCTTTCTTTGCCATATGCAACGGTGATGCATAGCTACTCTTTGACGGGCGACAAATTCCAAGTCGTAGTAACTCATCAAATTCCGCTTTTGCTGCCGCCAATTTATCTGGATTTAGACGGCGTGCTTTGCATGTGACAGGTTGTCCGACAGTCTCAATGAAATGTGTAACATTTGCTTTCTCTTTGACTCTGAACGACGGTTTATCGTCCAACAAGTCCTTAAATTTTTCAAGAAGAAAAGCAAATTTATCGTTCGCATTGAAAAGTGATACCTGTGATACCGCTGTGATAATTTTCCTAATTATTCCTTTGGATGACAGTCCGGTTTTTTGGTCGATGATTTGTTCACCTCTGACGTCGACTATCAATCCAAATTCGTATAGAAAATCAGCACCGATTATTGACGTTGTTACGTCGGCCACCGTGAATCTCCATTGGAATTTTCGTCGCAAATTCAAGTTGACTTCCATCAGTTTCGTACCGTATGTTCGTATTGGTGTGCCGTTGGCTGCTTGGAAACGTGTGCAAACCTCGTCGTCGTTAGTGTTTTTGTTGTATTTGTCTCGCATGATTTGTGTTGGTTTGAGTATTGAGTTGTCCGCACCACAGTCGATCAAGTATTCCATCTTTGCTTGCTTATCGTAAATGAATAGACGTTTCGTTGTGTGTGCGTCGAGTATCGCCGTCTGTTGCGATACTCGCTTTATTCGTTTTTTGACTTGCCTGTGTATTTGCATGGCTCACGACAATTCTTCGCTTCGTTGCCGTATTTGTAGTGGTACCAACACAGTTCGTGCTCGCTCTTTCCACCGCTTTTCGTACTCTGTCTGCTGCTCGAACGGTTTCGATTGCGATGCGGTGTGTTGTCACGACGAGAAACATGCTCCTTTCGTTCCAGTGCATCAACTTTGTTCGTTAATCGTTCCAATGCTCTGGTGAGTTTTTCGATGACTGACTTTTCACCGTTTTCGGCGTTCACACTGGAAATGCTGAATCTGTCCGATACTTCCCACATTTTATCAGCCATTTTTGCAAGGTTGTCCAATGCGTCGCTTGATGCTGATAAAACGGCACGAGACGACGTTGGCAAACGTTGAATCCATAACTGTTTAACCAACGCTTCACTGATTGTATTGTCGGCCAATGATCTCATGTGGTGCAGAAATTGCGATGGTTTCATCTCACCAATTTCCGTGTTTGAAATCAATTTTTGAAATTTTTCTGTCGAACTTTCCGCAAAAATTGCAATCAATGCGGTTTTTAACTTGTCGTAATGGCCTTCTGCGAACGTCGATTTGATTACATCCTTCACCAACGATGCCGTTGTGCAATTCAGATTTGCTACGACTTGCAAATATCTCGTTCTTTCGCTGGTTATTTTTCGTGCGGCAAATTGCGATTCAATTACCGTGAACCACAGTTCAGGATCGTTCTCGTAAAACGCTTGCATTTTTACCATCTCCGTTACCTGATACACATTTGCCGTCGGTTGTGCAATTTGGTTCGGTTGACCATTTTGACCGCTTTGACTGTTTTGACCTTGGCTACCACTCGCCTCGCCACCTCGTTGTTGCAACTCGTTGAGTTGAGTTCTCAAACTACCGATTTCATCTCTCAAACTGTCGATCTCTGCCATTTCGGAATTTTCGTAATTTTCCTGGTCGTCTGAATCTCCACTGCTCAGTGAAACTATCGATGAGTGTTTTTTTGTGCCGGTCAAAAACGAAAAATAATGTGTCATTCGAATTCGCACGTCGGGGTCACCACTTATGGTAAAGCTGCTGTTTGGTTTTCCAAAAAAAGACAAGCGGCTTCACTCAATTAATTCGGAAACTTTAATTTACCAAAAAGTTGAATAATGAATGACAAAAAATTAATCTTATGTTTCCTTAAATCTATTGAATAATTTCAAATACTGAATGTGAAAAAATGAACCGTATGAAAAAAAACTAAAGTCAAGTTTTTTTTTCTCTATCTGTGCGATGTGCGCGGAGGCAAGAGATGTTGCTGTTTCTCGGTTCGTGAATGTGAATCAATTGATTGCGCGTTTGACTGCTCTGACTGTGTTACACCGACAAACGACTCACTCGTACACACGCACACTAGAATTTGTATTCAAATTCAAGTGTGAGGTCGGTGACGTTTCTCAATGTCGCTCAGCCTTACAATTTTGCAGCGAAATGTTTTTTTTAATTTGGTGCGCTACAACCATAACTCTGTACGAAATAATGGATCATGTTGAAAGAATATTTCAGATCCAAAATACAGAGGTAAAGCCAAGTCAGATTTAGGAACCGCGCCGACAAATCGAAAGTATATGACGAAATGAACGAATCCATGAACGAAAAAACTGCCTAGGGTGAGGATTCCTAAGTTTACTATCGACATAACCATAACTCTGTTCGAAATAATGGATAAAAATTGAAGTAAAAAATTTACGAGGTGTTGATTGATTTTCCTTGAAAAACACCGTAAGAAAGTGTGTTTCAGTGAGGAAGATAGGCGCAATAGAAACGTGCGTTGAAACAACGAAGAAAGCAACAATGGAGCAACTCAGTAGATTAAAAGTATTAGCTAAAGAAAAAACGGAAGCGACAGTGAGTTACAAAATAAAATTCCATTTGTTTTTCTGAGCAAGAATTTGTGATGAAATTAAAGCAGATGTTTGCTTTGCCATTACAAGGTTGTCAGTGAAGGAAAAATAGTTCATTAGTTGATAAATTTCGTATCATATTTTCTAGAAAAATAGGATCGCCCCATTCATTCGCGTAGTTTGGCTGTTTTTCAAAGACTACTGTGGCAATAGCAACATTCATGGCCTCCGATATTTCACCAATCGCGTGCTACATTGGAGTGAAAGGTTGACGTGCCTCTTTAGATGTTATAACTTATAACTTGATTTTTTCATGCAATTTTTTTCATTACCATCATAATGAATGATTTCATTCTTTTGATCACTGTGTTCATAACAGTCTTTTTTCATGTGCAGATTATGGTGGATAATTGCCTTTGGCTTGGCACTATGGATGTGCTCGTTAATGATTCGCACCTTTTGCTTGGATTGGCAAGGGAGTCCGATGATTCTAAAAACGATTAATGAAAAGATGCCCATTTCAACAATTCCATTTCCAATGGTCATTATTTGCTCAACCATAGTAGTCGATAGAGAAAAATTCGATTTATCTTCTAAGTTTGATGCCAATTTCCAACTTTTACCTAATGTACCTGACATTGAGTGAGTCCGGTTTGGACGTCAATTTCTTCTATTTCTCAAACTATTCGTTTTCTTAAACTATTTTCGCAGCATAATGAAACTCATGGCGATATCAAATGTGTGCCCACGATTACACAATGCAATTGAATTAAGCTATATGGTTGTTATTTAACTCGGCTATGGCACAGATCAAACTGCAGGCGACTACTATATAGTGAAAAATAGTTATGGATTAAATTGGCGAGAATCAGGATTTTTCAGAATTTCACGCAATCTAAATATGTGTGGTTGCGGATTATCGGCCATGTATACAACTATTGCACATTAATACAATTCCAACTAATACAATTTGTGTATTTGTATTCCCACACTTGAACATCTATTAGTGAGACGTAAAAGAACGCAAGTTGGTCCAACTTCGTAGCAATAAAGAGAAGTATGTTTCATTGCAACTAATAATGGTTAAAAGAATTTATGTTCGTTTTTAGCGGGTCCTCGCGGTTTTTCACGGTTTCCGCGGAACTGATAAGAGATAAGAGATAGATGTTTCCAGCAATGTTATAGAAGACCTCGAGTACTACAACTTTGCCGAAGACAATAAGTTGTTATCTCTTATCAGTTCCGCGGAAACCGTGAAAAACCGCGGAGGCTAGATGGGATGCCAACATACTTCCTTTTAACGCAGATAGAATCAACAGAAAACATACTTTCCTTTTCAAAAATAAAAATCGACAAAAAAACATACATTCTTTTACGTCTCACGAATAGACATATCTTTTCGAAAACAAAAAAAAATGTCTCATTTTTTCCATAATTTGGATCGTGGGGTGTTCATTGATCAAAAAAAAATCATTTACGAAACTATTATCTCTTTTCATTCATGCGAAAAGGCAAAAAGCCCCTTCGAAAATGAACATATTCTCCTCTTTCATAACAAAGTCAGTGAAACGAATGCCCGTTTAGTTTTAAATCCGACTCTAATTTTTGAAACTAGGCTTAGAAAAAATCAGAGGTTCCAATCTACTCCAAATCTCATCCATAGTTATAAAACCAATATAAATATGGTATTCGCGTAGCATTCCCATTTTACAGCTAAAATACCATTGCAAATTGATAAATTGAATTTTCAAGCATTGTGTAATGCCTTCATCACGGTACAGAAAAGTTGATTTTAAACTAGGTTCCCGCTTATTTTTTTGCTGCGCAGAAAATTCAAATGATTTCGGTTTCATTGAATATAATTGACGTGTAGGGAATGTGTCGAGCCGAAATTTTGTTTTTTGAGTCTTATAAAATTGGTTCATTCCACCTGCGTCATTTTATACGAAATTACAAGTTCAAGATGAAAACTACAGCAATTCGTTTCATATTTTCTCATCAATCTAAATATTTATTCTGTTATTAACAGAGCGTGTTACTAAGAGAATGTTGATTTTTCTGGGTAAATTTGGATGATGTCTTATTTAGAGCTTACCAAGAGAAATGGCCTTGAAATCTATGGGTGAGATTGAGAGTAGTGTATGTTTCATTGACTTTGTTACGAAAGAGAAGAGTAAGTTTCTTTCGACTTAAAATTAGTTAAAGTAGAGTATGTATTTTGACTGTTTGTGGCTATGATAAAGGCGAGTATGTTTCATAAACCTTAATTTGCGTTAAACAAGAGCATGTATTTTGTTAGTTTGGAATACCAATAAACAGGAGTATGTTCTTCTGACTTTGGTTGTTGGAAAAGGCGAGTATAGAACTAATCATTTGTACATCTGGCGGCTCCCAATACTTCAATTTAACACATTGGTTTTCGAAAAAGTAGAGTATGTTTGCATGAATGGTTAAAAATATTAAGTTCTTTCGACGAAGAATATCAGGAGTTCATAATTGTTAGCATTAAAGACAGAACGTAATCGAGCTCTGCTTATTGTACGGCATTAGGATAAACGAACAACATACGAATCAATGTATAAGAGTGAAATGAGATTATCACCGAAACGATAGCGCATGGAAAATAACACGGAAGAAATGTGACAACAAACAAACATTGCGAAATTGCAACGCATCGGAGAATTTGCATGCAAACATACTCTACTTTTTCGAAAACCAAAGTCAGAAAAACATACTCCTGTTTATTGGTATTCCAAACTAACAAAATACATACTCTTGTTTAACGCAAATTAAGGTTTATGAAACATACTCGCTAGACTGGCCCAAAAAAAAAGTTGTCCACAAAAAAAAATGACGTCCAGTTTCGAAAAATATACCTAAAAAAAATAGGTTTTGTCCAAAAAAACGATATGGGTACCATATAAAATTCCGTGCCAAGTCCCATATGAAAATTTTCATGACAGCGATTTCGGAAGCCATTTTAGATCGCAACATTTCGACCGATTCCATTATTCTAGCCAAATTTCGGCAAAAACTGATGATGTGGTTTTGTTTGGCTCGTCAATATCTACAACTTTTACCAAGACATCAGCCCTT